CTAGAAGTCAAATGGCACATTTCAAACCACAATTTAATCATGAACATCATCATCAAAATCATAAATGAGTGTCAATTACAATATTGCTAACCATATCACAAGTCTCTCAGACTCAGATTAACAAAAACGGCTAGACATCCAACATTCAATAATATCTCAACATAATAATTAATTCACAATAATATCACTAGCCCAAACACAAACTCTCTTGAGTTTGGTTCACAAAAAGCTTAGACAAATAACAATCCATAGTTACAAATTTAATCACAAACATAAATGCATAATATGTCCCTACGTTGGCAATTACATGTGTGTGTGTGTGTGTGTGTATGTGTTCTACTACATAGAGAAAGGAAGCTATACAAGGTACAATCTAGCTCTAAGTTTTTGGATCCTTCTCTTTGTCATTACCCAAAGCATCACATATAAATATTAATCATAGGGTGAGATAAACATCTCAATAAGTAAGGAATCTTAACTTCTAATATATATAGGTATAAGCATTAAGGGCATGTAAGGCAGTAACTAATAATATTAAATCATAACAAAATATTAAGTATGCTTGATCAATTAATTTTTTTCCTTATGTCTTCCTTATTCCTTCTGACTGAGTCCATAAACTATAGTTCATAATAGGACTAATTTGTATGATTGGACCATCCCAAGCTCTCCAAAATTAGAGGGGTAACTCGGCCAAAGTCACTGCTTCACTAACTTAGACCATGAACTCCCCTGTTAATAGAATTTCTGAAAGGTGTCATAATTATTGCTAGCAACACATGCCCATCTTTGTCTCTCTTATGGTTTTAAAAGATAAAGATGATAATTTGGCTTTTCAATGAGTTTAAGGCTTTTGGTTTGGAAACCTTGGATGTTTGAAAAGTGGCCCCAAAACATCAATATATCCGATCCATAAGCTATTCCATAAAAAACCCATTAGGTTCATCGGTTGTTCCAAACCATCCTTAAACTATTCAAAACTAAATTTTACTTATTCAACCTTGTTTAATCTTCCTAAACCAAGGATTAAAAATCAAGGATGTTATAGAAAAAAGGGGATACAATAACATGATAGGCCAAACTCATTATGTTACCAGATCCCTCCCTCTTTTTTTTTTGTTTATTACTTTTTATTATTTTCTCCTAAAATTCAAAGGTTTAACTAAGTTTGTATATTTTTTGTTCAAATAAAATTTTTTTAATAATAAAATAGCTATAATAAGTTAAGTTGGAATAATATCTTAAATAATTTAATTTAATTTCACCTAACCTCATTTATTTTCTTCCTTTTCTAAAAGCTACGACTTAGAAAAAAGTCCTCAAAAGTTAATCCCACATTAATCCTAATTAAATCCTAATTTATTTTAATGTATTACTTTAAATTTTTGGGATGGTATAACTCTTCCTTCCTAATAAGAATGTTGCCCTCAAAACTCAATTACCCTACAAGCAAACAAACAAAACCTACCTATTGGAATAGATGCAAGTATTGATACTTTAAATTTCTTGGATGTTACACTCTTGCCAGAAGAACTACATTGCTTAGTGTTGTCACTACTAGAATTCCTACTTATATTATGCAAATAGCGAACCTCCTTATAGCTGCTTGCAATGAGTTGAAGAGGAATAACCGAAACTTCTTATAGGGCTCTACAAATAAAAAGAGAAAGGTTCACATTGTAATATCACCTAATTTACTCCCAATACTTAACCATATCACTATACCTTACCATGATAATGGGAAATAGGAACTAACTGCATTTATAAAGAATTAACCATAGTAAAAAAAAAGAAAAGATTTAATGTGAAGGTGGGTGGGCATGGGTTGAGACCAAGAAAATATTCTCTAGTATACTAGAAAAGTTCAAAAACCCTATTGATAATTGAAATTCTTTTGCTACAAAGGAACCCTGGAACCAGAACTACGACATTTTCACATTTTCAAACATCCAAGGTGTCCAAACCAAAACTAAAGTGCCAAAAGCCCTCACATACCCCTTGACTATACTCAATAAACTTAGAACAACATATACAATGCACCACAACAATCATATCCAACATTATCTGCATTTTCACTCCTCAACTCCAATTTTATCAAAAACATAAGGGCAAATATTCAACGTGAAATATCCAAAACAAACATTTACAATCACTTGAAATATCCAAAATAAACATTTACAATCACCTAAAATAACCATAAACATACTTGTACTAGTATTTTTTTTTCCTATTTTCCTCATGCAACATAGCCTAGGGTGCAAAATACACTCAATCAAATACAAGTAAATGCAATACACTCAATCAAACGCAAGTAAATGCAATGGTGCAAGTATTTTAAAAATGATTGTCCTAGTTAGAAATACCATTATTAATTACGCATATAACTTATCAAAATAAGAGGCATACAGTAAGCATACGGATTCTTAAGCCTCATATGCTTTTCTCTTATTCTTCCTGAAGCTAGAGCTTGTAAGATTTTAAATAAAAGTGAGTATAACTACTCAATAACCAAGAAAACTCTAAATCACCCACATATATGTCAAATCAAGTAAGGCATACAAAGTGAGCAATTAAATTTAGTTCATCTCATAATGTAATATCATATCATATGATAATGAAATGCATGATCAAATATCATCTTTATCTCCTCCTTGTATTGCCGACTTAACCTATAGGCTAACACTTCAAATAGGGTCACGTCCGTGCAAATGGACTTACCTAAGCTCACCAATTATAAGGAACTACTTAGCCAAAAGTGCTGCACTCACTCTTAAACTATGAATTCCCACATACTCGAATTACTAGAGTGTCACAAGTCTTAATCCACACCCCATCCAGGTTGATGTGGCAATCTATGATTTGGGTAACTTATCCTGCACCTAATACAAGGTGATATTAAGGATTACCTGATCTAAACCAAACATTGGGGCCACCCATAGTTTTGGTAACATCCACATGGACAGAAATATGACTAGATTCCTCTTAGGGCAAACTCCTACCCAATTAATGATCATGCAAACATACTCAATGCACCAATAATGCATACTAGATTTCATAACACAATTAAACTTACCATAATCATATATTCATTATCACAAATTCTCATTCACTATCATATTATTTAAAAGCCTAATTGCCAATAAATAACTAAAACTTTCATGATTGATCTTTTCTCATTTATACAAAAAAGGCACACTTGCATTTGAGTTTCTAAAATGATAGATCAAGTTTATTGAACTATAAAAATACATTCATCAAGTTTACAAACACCTATAATTAATTGAATGAGCAATTACACAACTTAAATTCCTATATTTATCTCAAGCCTTTTAGAAATCAAAGGTTACCCCTTATATAACTTGCTTCTGAGCTAGAGATGAGCTTAAATGGTGCACCACGAGATTAGTCTACAATTAACAGTGATAAGTATTACTATTAATCACCATAAAAACAATTTCCAACTTCTAAACTTACACTTTAATCACCCAACACCTCATAGGTCTGCCATGGACTAGAGTCACAGATATTTTTTGGCAGTGGACTTATAGGATTGTCATTGTCAAGCAAACACTAATTGTTATACATTGATGTGTAATAAGTACAAGTTTAAAGGGAGAGTCCATCCTAAAATATTAACCTATTGGGTGGGAAAACCTCTCACACTTATAAAGCTCACACTATTTATAAGGCTTTTTGATGTGGGACTCATGATAATGATACCCCGTCAAGAGCCAATGTCCTCGACAGCTCCACTACACGGTACTTCATTCAACCTCTTATCGGTTAGAACCCTTCATGGGTAGCCCTTTCCGTGACACTAGGCTCTTAATGAAAACACCAAAATAATGAACACAAGTTCAAAGGGAGAATCTATGCGAAAGATAAGCTTATTGGGTGAGAGAGCCCCTCACACTACTTGTGAGGCTTCTCGATGTCTATATGTATTCGGCAACACAAAATATCCATGTCATATACATCCCTGGAATATTTGTATTTATTAATTACCACTCATTTAATACTAAATACTAAATATACATAACATGACTTTAATCATTTGTTACCCAAAAAAAAAATTGAATTATGCTGTTGGGCCAAGTATAAATGCTTCAATATCTTTAAATAAATATGAGGTTTCAAACTTGTGAATAGACAAGGTGTTAATATCTTGTTCAGGATAAATTCGAGGATACCTATACACAAAGGAAAAAATTGAATCAGTGAACGGTGCACTAAAAATAAATTTGCAAAAACAATAAATCTAAAGACACAAAAATGTGATTTACATTACCCACAAAAAGAAATGCTTTTTCTTTGGGCTTTTAGCTCCATTGTCCACCCAAGAAAAGATGCTTTACACAGTAGAAAGAGAGACCCAAGGGAGTGGGTGCCCCCCTCCTGTCCATGTCTCCCCCCACTTTTGATTAAAAAAGGGTATTTTTTTTAATTTTAATTACAAAAATAAATATCAATAATTATATTTTATTGTTACTGATACAAAAAGTTTTTTTTTTCCACAAAATGTATGTTGGTCATTTACTTTTTCCCCCTTCCTATCAACTCATTTTTTTTTTCCAAAATCAAACATAAATTTATCCATGAAACAAATTTCACTTTTTTGGTATTGAGCACTCAATATTCTAGGCCTTTTTTATGTTAAGTTGATGGGACTTAAATGGGGACCAAAACTAATTTGGATCGAGTTGAGTCGGGATCTTTTTAAGTGAAAAATCCATTAGTAATATTGCCATATTCCTTAAAGCTCGAACTTAAGATCTCTTATTAAGTTAACACAATTTCCAAACCAATTAAACTATGCCTCCGGTATAAACTAATTTTATTTCCTAACATGCAAGTACTGAAATATGACCACTTTTCTTTTCTTTTCTTTTCATTCATTCCATTTACATTCTGTAATGCTGATGAAGTTTTGCTCTCGATGACTCCTATAAATGTGGCTGAGCCCTTTCAGTTAGCAATATCACAATCAACAAGATAAAAATCCATCACGGAGAAATCATCTTCCCATGGCTCTGATCTGTTCTTCCAAATCCTCCATTATCTCCTTCCATTCCCAATTTCCTTCCCCAACAGCAAAGGTTTCTGACAATAGATCTTCCTCTTTCAAACTCCATTCTCCGCCTACTGCTAACAAATGGATCATCGATGACACAAGCCACTTGACAAGATTTGTGAGTGTGGAAACTTCATTATGATAATCTTACTGATATTCTTCTGTAACGTTTCTGTATCAACTTCCTTTTTCATGGCATCAGGATCGCCCCTGCGATAATCTGGAAGAAAAGTTGAAGCTATATAAGAACGTTCTTGAGAATGTGGGTGAAAATTCAGTGAAAGGTTTGTGCATGGTTGATGCTATGCAACGCCTGAACATCGATTACCACTTCCAAGAAGAAATCAACCATTTCCTAGCAACTCAATACACGATTTTCAGCACTTATGGAAGTGGCTATGGCCATGATCTTCATGAGCTTGCGCTTCGCTACCGGCTTGTTAGACAGAATGGTCACTATGTACCTGCAGGTGGGAACATATATACTTCAGAAACCGAAGCATGCATATCATATAATTTTGCTACACACACATTTTGAGAGGCTGATTTAAAATAGGTTGTTTGGTTTATTGTTGCAGAGGTGTTTGATATGTTTACAGACAAGGAGGGAAAGTTTAGCGAGAAGGTAGGCGGAAATATCAAGGGGATGATAGATTTATATGGAGCTTCACAGCTAAGAATGGAAGGAGAAGCCATACTTGATGAAGCTGAACTATTTGGCTTGAAGATTCTCAAAGAAAGAAGTGCTCACCTTGGGGTTGATAAAGCTGAGTTTGTGAGGAGTACTTTGGAGCAACCATTTCACAAAAGCCTACCAATTTTCACCTCCAGAAACTTCCTTGAAGGGACCCATGGCATGAATGGATGGGTCAATGCCTTACAAGATGTGGCCAAAATGAACTTCAATGTGCTCCAATCTGAATACCAAACAGAGATTTTTCATATTTCTAAGTAAGCATAATGCATCTTTTTTTGACATGATAATCGTTCAAAAAGTTGTTTGTGTCAGTATATTCAGCCTTTAATTATTTCCCCCCTCAGATGGTGGGCTGAACTTGGTTTAGCTAACGAGTTGAAGTATGCGAGAAACCAACCACTGAAATGGTACATTTGGTCCCTTGCATGCTTAACAGATCCATCCTTTTCAGAAGAAAGGGTTGTGCTCACGAAACCAATCTCCTTCATCTACCTAATAGATGACATTTTTGACATCTATGGGACCCTTGAAGAATTAACTGTTTTCACAAAAGCTGTTACCAGGTACACGTCAAACGTTGTCGATTATTCCTACAAATATTATTTCAGCTAGAAGTTAAAGAATATGACCGACAATGTTTGAGTACTGCAGGTGGGATATTGAAGCTACCGAAAAACTACCAGATTACATGAAGATATGTTTCAGGGCACTCTATGATGTCACCAATGAAATCAGCTACAAGGTGTATCTAAAACACGGATGGAACCCCAGTGGGTCCCTTCGAAAGGCGGTAAATATATTGATTGAACAATAATTCAATCAGATGTGTTCTTATAGTTTGGAAGATTGTTCATTGACTATTGTTTTTTACTTTTACTGCACGTAGTGGGGAAGGCTGTGCGAGGCATTTCTGACAGAAGCAGAATGGTTTGCGTCAGGGAAGATGCCGAGTGCAGAAGAGTACTTGAAGAATGGGATAGTAAGCTCGGGAGTGCATGTAGTGCTGGTTCACATTTTCTTTCTGTTGGGTCAACGATTATCTCAAGAAACTGTGCAAAAGATTGACAATAATCCAACCATTATCTCTTCCACTGCCACAATTCTTCGTCTCTGGGATGACCTGGGAAGCGCCGAGGTAAACATTTTCAGAGACTAGTCTGATATCTTCCACGCTTCGTTCAGTTTCGAACCAGAATGATAGACAAATTAAAAATATGTTGTCAGTTCATAGAGGAATGAAAAATTTGCAGGACGAGAATCAGGAGGGAAAGGATGGATCGTACATGGAATATGTGATGAAGGAGATGAAGGAGGGGGAAAGGGCGAGAGAGGTGGTGATGGGTAAGATCTCAGAAGCGTGGAAGGGTCTCAACAGAGAGTTCGTATTGGACGACACGACACCTCACGCCACGGCGCATGGCACATAGAAGATGAGCCGCAGTGCACATATTTTACATAAAATTTGTTTTTGAGTTTTAAAACTCATTATTTTAGATCCCAATTGATTTCCAAGCTTCTGCTTTACTTTCAAAACTCTGATACGGACTTATTAAATAATGTTTGAGATTTGAATTGTTGAAATTGAGATTCCTTTGAAAGAATTTTGGGAAATTCCTTTCATAAAACTTTATAATTTGGTAATCCTTGAAGGTTAAACCTTAAGTTGCCATGATTTAGAGTCAAACATGGTTTAGTAAGGGAGACTTTACGGTTTAGTCTCTTGAACATTACATCGAAGACCACAAATAACAAACGCGGCTCAAAGGCCATGAATAACAGACGTGGCTTGAAGGCCATGAAATAGATGTGAACACATAGTTCATAAGGTAACTAACCAAATATGGTCGAAATTATGAAACAGACGTGCTATGTTTGGTCCCTCTAAAAGGATCCCTAAATATATCAGAAGCCAATCCTTCCATATAGGAAAATTATTTTAAAATAATCCAAACACTATCCATAAGCCATTTTTAAAACTTCCTTTCATAGACTTTTATATGCTTGTAAAAAGTTTCTTTTAAAGATAAAAAAAATCCCATCATTTAAAAACAAATTGCAAAAATTTTGATTCCAAATATTCATCAAATACTTGCTAAATCTTGCTTTAAATTTGTATGCAAATACTTACACTAGTACAAATATATAAAATTTACAGGGTACTTTTTACATCAGTTGGAAGGCAAACGATGTAAAAAGTTAAGGTGGTGGCATTTTTGTAATTATGTTGAAGTATGTGACAATTTCTACACCAGGTGAACCTCCACCTGGTGTAGAAAGTCATGATTCTACACCGGGTGGAGTCACCTGGTATAGAAAAGTCACTTTCTACACTGGGTGGAAAGTGACATTTCTACACCGGGTGACTCTACCCGATGTAGAAAGTCATGTTTCTACACCGGGTAGAGGTCCACCCAGTATAGAAAGTGACTTTTCTACACCGGTTGGCTTTTCAACCGGTGTAGAAAAGTCGTGTAGAAAGTGACTTTTCTACACCGAGTGAAGGTCCACCCGATATAGAAAGTAACTTTCCTATACCGGTTGGCTTTTCAACTGGTGCAAAAAAATTTTTAAACTACTCTCCTTTTTTCTCCCATACAAACATAGTTTTTCTTCCCCTTCATTTGCTCTACTTTGACCCCTTCCTTTTCTCTCATTTGCTCCTTCATTATTTCCTCCCCCTCCTCCCTCAAGCAACCCGCCCATCCTCCCTCTCCCTCTCCCCCTCGCCGTCCTTCCCCCTCGCCGTCCACCCTTCCCCTCCCCACACCGCCCCCTCCCCCTTCCCCTTCCCTCGGCCGCCCCCTCCCTCACTCGCATGCCCCCCTCGCCCACCTCCTTCCCCCTCCCCCTCGCACGCCCCTCCTTGGCCGCCCCCTTGCATGCCCGCCCCCCTCCCCTTCCCAGCGCCCCCTTCCCCCTGCCCCTCCTCGATGCCTCTGCCCATCTATTTGCCACCACTCCTTCTCCCCTCCTCACTCTCTCAGTGCTGAGCTGTTGTTGCAGCTGCCACCACCCAGGTATGTCTTGAATATGAATTTTTAGATTTTATAATGCTTAAATTTAGATTTTCATAGTATTAATTGTTGTTGGGACTACTGTTAGTGACTTTATAAGGCTTCAGGTTGTTGCATGTGATCATTTATTTGGTTTAAAATTATTAATTTTCTCATGTAAATTTTTTAAAACTTTTGGGAAGTCCAATTTTTAGGGGAGACTGTCGAAATTTTTTTTTGAATTCATTCTTTCCTCTAAATTGCTTAAATTTAGTTTTTAATGATATTGATTATTACTGAGAATGCTGTTAGTGGCTTCATAAGGCCTCAGGTTGTTGCATGTGATCATTTATTTGGTTTAAAATTGTTAATTTTCTCTTGTAATTTTTTTTTTAAAGTCTTGGGAGATCCAAGTTTTAGGGGAGACTCAGCCAAATTTTTTTCAAATCTTAAGTTAATTAGAAATTTAGTTTCTTGAAATAGTTTGAAGGTAATAACATTAGTTATATTCTTTAGGAGGTGACACATGGATCGTAGTTGGATGAATGCTAGATGAACGAGTGACGAGTATGATAATGGGGTGAAAGAATTTTTGAAATTTGCTAAGAAAAATGCTGTTGACAGTAGTAAAAGGTTCTATTATCCTTGTATTAATTGTTTGAATGAGAGGAGGCTAGGTGTTGTCAAAATAAGAGAGCACTTGGTTTGTGATGGGATTTGCAAAAATTATATGATATGAATTTGGCATGGTGAACGATTGGAAAATTATAGTAACATATCTTAATATGTGGAAGTTGATAATCTTGAGGATGAAGTAGAAATGAATGAAGATCGGTTAGAGGACATGATCCGTGATGTTGGGGAAGAGGCTTTTGAACGAGCACATGTGTATGATAACTTGTGCACTGACGCAGAGAAGCCTTTATACCATAGGTGCACTGATTTTAGTTTGTTATCTGGGGTGTTAAAACTAGTTACCTTAAAGGCAAGAGCTGGGTGGAGTGACCAAAGTTTCACATGGTTGCTAGAGTTACTTCAAATAATGTTTTCGAAAGGCAATGCACTACCAAATCATTATTATGATGCCAAGAAGATCTTGTGTCCAATGGGTATGAAGTATAAAAAAATACACGCATGTCCCAATGATTGTGTGTTGTATAGAAAAGAGCTTGAAGGGGAGGAGAAGTGTCTGAAATGTGACGCACTATGGTACAAAGAGAAAGGGGTTCCTATAAAGGTCTTATGGTATCCTCCAATTATACCAAGGTTCAAGCGTTTGTTTGCAAATACTAATGATGTGAAGAACTTGATATGGCATACAAATGAGAGGATATCTGATGGAAAACTTTAACATCCAGCCGATTCTCCTCAATGGAAGAAAATTGATCAATTGTTTCTCAAATTTGGCAATGAGCCAAGGAACTTGAGGCTCGGACTTTCTATCGATGGAATGAATCATTATGGTAGTCTTAGTAGTATACATAGTTCATGGCCTGTTCTTTTGGTGATTTACAATCTATCACCTAGGTTGTGCATGAAACAGAAGTACATGATGCTATCCATGTTGATTTCGAGACCAAAACAACCTGGAAATGATATTGATATTTACCTAAGACCTCTGATTGAAGATTTGAAAGTGTTATGGGAGGTAGGTGTGAAAGTGTTTGATGTAAATCATAAGGAGAATTTTAAGCTACGTGCTATGATCTTTTGTACTATAAATGATTTTCCTGCATATGGAAATATGTCTTGTTATAGTGTGAAAGGTCATAAAGCTTGTCCAATTTGTGAAGAAAGCACAAACTACCATCAACTTCAACATGGAAGGAAGACAGTCTACCTTGGCCATCAGAGGTTTCTTAGACGAGATCACCCGTATTGTAAATTGAAGAAAGCTTTTCATGGTCACTAAGAACATAATGATGCTCTAAATGCTTTGACTGGGGATCAAGTGTATGAACGTGTGAAAAACATTAATATTATCTTCGGTAAGACTAAAAAGAATACTGGTGCAAAAAGCATATGGAAAAAAAGGTCTATCTTTTTTGACCTCCCATATTGGCGTAATCTTGAAGTGAGGCATTGTATTGATGTTATGCACGTAGAGAAAAATGTGTGTGATAATATTATTGGAATGCTTTTGAACATACTAGGTAAGATTAAGGATGGTGTGAATGCAAGATTGGATTTGAAAGAAATGGGAATACGGGAAGAATTACACCCAAGACCAGAAGGTAAATGAACTTATTGTCCTCCAGCCTCTCATACATTATGCAAATCTGAGAAAACAAGTTTTTGTAAGTGTTTACATGGAATCAAAGTTCCTTCGGGGTATTCTTCAAATATTATGAAGCTTGTATCTGTGAAAGAGTTGAAACTGGTAGGCTTAAAATCTCATGATTGTCATGTCTTGATGCAACAACTATTACCTTTAACTATTCGAGACATATTGAAAGAAGATTTAAGACTTACAATAACTAGACTTTGTTTCTTTTTCAATGCTATATGCAATAAAGTTATTAATCCTCGTAAACTGGAAGAGTTAGAACAAGAAGCTTGTACTATCTTGTGCCAACTTGAGATGCACTTTCTTTCTATAGTTTTTAACATTATGGTTTACTTAATAATGCATCTAGTAAGGGAGGTAAAATTGTGTGGTCCTGTTTATTTGTGATGGATGTACCCAGTTGAGAGATACATGAAAATACTGAAAGGGTATGTTAGGAATCCATATCGACCTGAAGCATCGATAGTTGAGAAATATGTTGCTGAAGAAGCCATGGAGTTTTGTTCTGATTACTTGTCAAGTATAGAATCAATTGGACTTCCTAAATCTAGTCATGAAAAAAGGCAATATGGTTAAGGCACATGCGGAGTATCAGTGAAGAGCATGAATCATGATGAATTACAAGAAGTACATTTATATATCTTGAATAATATTGATGAAGTTAAAGATTACATATCTTCTCATAAAGAACTTCTAAAGGCAAAAAATTATCGAATGAGAATGACTGAACAAAAGTTGTTGAAAGAGCACAATAGGACTTTTGTAGACTAGTTCAAGCAGAAAATTTTGAATGAAAGTGGTGTTTCTGATACAGTTAAATGGTTGGCTGGAGGTCCTAACTTTGATGTTATATGTTGGAGTGCCTATGATATTAATGGGTATTCCTTTTATACAAAGTCCTTGGATATGGTGTGGGGCGTTGCTACTAGCAAACTAGAGTATCCGGGTCTTATGAGGGGTGTTGGATATGGTGTGGGCATTAAGGACTACTTTGGAGCACCAACACGTCCTAATTCAGGAGGTGTAGTGACTGGAGAAGAGCTTGATACATTGATATCCACTGTGAGGCAGCAGACTAAGGATGAGTTTGAAGCTTTATTTGTAGCTTGGCTTCTACAAATGAAAGAGCAAATGAAGGAGGAGATGATGAGCTCACGATAGGAGACAACTATTGAACCAGTTCATACGTCTCCTGGATTTCATAGTACAAAAGGGAGTAATATTCTTGAGCGTGTATCAGAGGGTCCTTCTAATGACAACATTGGTGAACCGTGTGAGATATTTCTAGAAGATCCTGATAGATGCTTGGTTGCTCTTGGTAGCATCTATAGCTTGGGGTCATCCATCCACCACAAGCAAATTCAAGATGATCAAGTGAGAGTGGTGGTTGCAGATCCAAAAGTGCCAGATGCTTTGGTTTCATTCCCTACTGATGAGGTGAAGACTGTGGTTGAAGCTGTTAGCAATTTAACCTATGACCCAAGAGACTTGTGAATCTAGTTCAAGCTATGGTATGAAATTTCATGAGTTTTTTATTATGTAGCAGCTTCCTAATATATGTTTTCTATTAGCTATTTCTTGCCTTTTTATTATGTAGAAGCTTTCCTCGCCGAATCTCCCGAAACTTCCACAACCCTCGTTGACTCCGCATCAGCGAATGATCTTAATGGTATATGATTTATCATTCGAATTCAAGAGTTTAGAAATGGATTCGAAGGTTGTGGTTAAGAAAGACATGATAGTGACAATTAAACGGGAAGATTTGGTTTGACTTTTGTCAAATAATTAGCTTACCACACCACACATTGAACTATTTATGATGTAAGTATGTTTTTCTTTAATATAATTGCATTGTTGTAAGTAAATTTAATCATCAAATTTAGTAAACTAATATAATTGCATTGTTGTAGGTACTTTCATCATTTGTGCATTACATCGGGCAAAGGTGATAAGTTTGGATTCCTTTGCCCTCATCACATGACAAAAGGACATTTTTATGGCTCCATATGTGCACTCGTAAGGATCAATTTATAATTAATAGTTTTTTTTAATATGGATTTACTTTAACTTGTATCATATTTAGTAGGGACTATTGGCAGTTATTTGTTCTTTCAATGAAGAGCAACACTGTCGTCTTTTTATGCTCCCTCCATTATAAACTTGGGAAAGAAATGAAGAAGACGATAGACTTGTAAGAATACT